CCGGGCACCACAGAGATAAAGCAGCGCTCGCCGATCTGCGGGTTGGGCGCCAGCGCGTGCAGCACCTCCACTGCCACCGCGGGCGGCACGCACAGGAGCACCACGTGGCACGCCTGGACGACCAGGTCGTTACTGTTGGTCACCGCCGAGCCCCAGCCGCTCCAGCGCGAGAGGTTGCGCGCTGACGGCGCCGCCACCGTCATACGACCCGAGTGGATCACACCTGGGGCCGGGAGGGGGGAGGGGTAAGCGCACGGCACGGGCGCGGAGGGACGAGTAGCGCAACTGACACAGTCGAACCTTCCCCGCCCGCCGCCTCTACACCGAGGCTACCGCTTGTTACACGCACCTTTGTCTAGGATGGCGCGGGCGATGGCCTGCGCGATGGTGCCAGCTCCGATAAAGCCCACCTTGTTTCCGCCGAGACCGATCGAGTACGTCACCCGGCCCATGTCCTGGCAGATGGAGAGATGGTGGTAGGTCGTCAGTTAAAGTCTTCACCTAGACATAACACCAATGGAATATGTAGCACATTCCGTAAGCCACGCTATTCACACATAGACATCCCGTATTGCAACCCACATCGGCAGAAGTCCTGTGAAATCCCGCCCTGTCCCGCGCTATCGACTCCGTTCCACCGTCCCGGTGGCGCTCACCCCGTAGGAGACGTCCTGCTGGGCGGCGCTCCGCGGCGCCTGCTCCCGTGCGGCGGCGCGGCGGTTCGGCGTTCCTCCGCGCCCCATGCCCGTGCTGGTCCCGCCCACCCGGCGGCCGAAGCTGCGTCGCTCCTTCCGCAGCGTCAGCAGCTTCGCCTGAGTGCGCAGCCTCTGCGAGCCCGACACCATGTTCAGGTGGTGCTTCCTGCTCTTGGCGTGCTGGCGCAGCTTCAGCTTGTGACAGCGCAGATGCGTTTTGCACACCAAACACTCTGCCTTGTACACATCATCGGCCACAGGCCGCAGCCAGCCTGGAGTTGGGGAGGGGTGGGGGTGGGTGGGCAGTTAACACTCTGCAAGATTGATGACTTTTTATTTGACTTTTTATTTTTTAGCCCGTACTTGAGGTCTGCATCCACAAGTTCTTAAGAAATCAAGAATCAAGGTTGAAGAAACTTCAAGAATCAAGAAACCAAACTCTAATAAATTCTTACCAACTTTTGATGAATAACATGCAAACCAACCTTTGAATTCAGGGAGCTCCTCCCACTCTTCCTTGTACTTCTGAAAGTAGTAGTCCTTGGTTGCAGTTGCTGGCTGCAAAGTCACATGTATTTCTTCCTCTGATCCACCCAGGTCCTGTTCAGCAGCCTCCTCTATGCTGAAGTCAGCACTGGGATCACCATCCCCAGCCTCCATAACCTCCAAATCCTGTGAGCCACTGGGCCCTGCCTCAGCTGCTGATACTCTGTCCTCAGACTGAAGCTCTAGATGGTCATTTCTGTTGTCAGCCAAAGCATTGGCATCCAGGATCACTGGAATGGACAGTGTCAATGAGAATGCTGCATGCGCAGATGGGCATTGCCACATCAAGACCATAGGACTGCAAGCCGCTGTGGGCATGTGTAGCACTACCTGGACCTTTCCAAATGAGCACACCAGCTGCAAAACAACACTATTTCAATTAACTCAGATGACAGTGTCATTATGTTAATTCACTCATTTCAACTCCTAGGCTATGTTGATGTTAGCAGATTACTAGACGCTTTAACATGATATGGGTATTGGGTACGTACCACACGTCATCCAGTAGGCAAGCAGGCGACAGGGCAGTCATGTTAAGGGCCTCGGTTAGGACCAATAAGGACAATGCATATTTACACAGATTTTATTCAGGGGCCAGATACTTAGGGGAGAGTGGGGAAAGATGCCCAGGGTTTTGCTATGTCATATATTATTCGAAAATGACGATCGGAAAGCAAAAACTTGGAGTTTCAACGGAAGCTGACATCATTTTTCTCGAAAAATATCACACTTTCGTGCCTGAAATATGACAACTTTTTTTGCTAATAAGCATTTTCCTGAAGAAGTGAAAGGGGGGCATCTTACCCCACAGGGTGGGAAAGACGCCCCCTGGGGTTGGGGAAGATGCCCCCCTGCACTATAACGGACATAAATGGGCACGTGCATCGCCTGAACGAATCAGTAGTCCCTTCGAGCCTGCAGTAGACACCAAACGTCATCGTAAGGGCCCTCAAGTCAAAAGTAGTCGTAAGGGGCTTCAGAGGTCATCGTTGGGGCCATCATAGTCCAGCGCGGCCAAACAAGCCTCCGTGGTGGCGTTCGGAGACCACTGTGGGGCCCTTATATGTCTTCATGATTCTTAAGGACCCTCGAGCCCATCGTGGGGACCTCAGCTGCCAGCGCGGCCCGTGGAGCCAACGTGGGAGCCCTCAAAGGATGTCGTGAGGGGCCCTGGAGCCAATAATGGGGCCCACAGAGGCCGTCGTGAGGGCTCTCAGAGTCAGATGCCGCCCAAAAAGTCGCTGTGTGGGCCGAGAGACCGGCATGGGGAGCACCCGACCGTACTGGACTCTCAATAGTCCCAGATCGGCTTTTGTCTCTCATCACAAGTATGTAATAAATGATTTGACGGGCTGCTTGAAGGACAGCCTACGGATTCAGGGGGGCGACTTTCCCCATCAGGACAGGGGGCATCTTACCCCAAGGTACCGAAGTAACATTAAATCAGTACAATTTGTTAGCCGTAAAACTACACCCTGAAACAAACTGTTTGGGACACAGTACATGCATGTTAATGTATCACGACTATAGCAAGGGACGCAAAAATTATCTACCTTCTTTGATATTTACAATGTTTTGACACCAAAATATTTTTTGAAAGCAGCAAATAAAAAACATACAATCACCAGCCAGCCGTTGCCCAACTGAGCTTCGCAAATTTTTGTGCAGTTAACAAGGCAGGCTTCCGCTTTACGCTAAGAACATTAATTTCCAGGTTCGATTCTTTGTTTCCCCGCTAGAGGGGGTGGGGCGTCTTTCCCACCCTGGGCATCTTACCCCACTCTCCCCTACATAATATCCTATCTTGATCTACATTTGTGAATATAGCATGAGGGTAAGTTAGGCATCATTTTGTTCAAAACAACAGGGTCATGTGATATTCTTACCATTGATATTCGTACCAGTATCGTCCCTTGACATCTTCCCGATCCTTGGAATTGGAATCCACGGTTGGATGTTGTTGTTGTTGTTGTTGTTGTTGTGTTTGTTGTTGTGGGTTAGGGCGTGTAGCAACTTGGCTCTTAGTCTTGCGGCTTGCGTCCAACTCCACGGTTGGAATCAAACAACCCGCGAAAAATGCATGCGATAAAATAGACAATACACAATGGGCGGAAAAGGCCAGAAATGGCAAGAAATGGCACGGATCAAGAAAACTGTTTGATGATTGGCCAGCAACTGCCAAGAATAGTGCTACAGTACGTCACTTTCGAACCAATGAAATTAAAAGGTTGGTTTGGGCTTGGCCCGCTTGGTTAATATTATTCACTCATAGGGTCTGTAAGATGCTTCTGTGATGTTTAGGTCAAAAGACAAAATTGAAGGTCTATTAGGTAGTTCTTACGGCATTTGATCGCCTTGGTTCTTACCTTTCTTACTTTCTACGATGCCTTCATGATTTAGTGCTGATGACGTCATTCACTTTGGATTAATATCGTTGGTGGCTAGTGTTCTTCACAGCTTGTTTTAATACAAATGCGGTGCTTGCGGCGCCATTTGTTTTTTTTATGTATGATAATTTGCAATAATTATTTTGCGATTTCTGAGTATTGGTGTGTAGATGAGGCATGGTCAAGATAAAAAACAATCTAATCTGACCCCTTGGAAGTACCTTAACCTACATGTTACCTAAACCTACTCACAGAGGAATCACTGATTCAGTTTGCCGGTATTGGACGCTTGAGCCCTGGCAGCTGAGCTACGCGCCCTAATCCTACAAGAACAAGAACAAGTTTGCCGGTATTTCATTTTTTAAGGCATTCCCTGGCTAGTGTACCACTACCAACCACTTGAAGATCACCTGATTCAAAAATATGTTAGGCTGGCGGCTAATTAGTCTCCGCTCTATCGTGACTTGAGTCCGATTTATTGACCTAGGGATGGATGAGAATGTCAGTTGGTGTTGGTTTGGCGCCTCAAATTAAGGAGTCTGAGTCTTTCCGCTATTAGTGGAGCAGACATCACGCAGGTTTCCCAACCAAGGAGAGCCGAGAGGCACTATACCCAAAGATGCTTCTTTCTCACAAACCTTTAAGAAACCTAACCTAACCTATAACCTACAAACCTACCCAACAACCTACAAACCTGCAGCGCCTCTGCTCGCTGGTCGCCTGTCGGAAAACCTTTGTGTAACGTCTGCTCTACTAATTATGCTACCTTTCCACGCTCCGGCTTGATGGATCCACCACACTGATGTGCGGTACTTTCAGAGACTGTACATCATTACATGGGCTCATAAATCCATTATCCATATTCTATTACTTATGTTTTTAGACTCCACCATATGGATTATAAATTTTAACACTAGCTTTTTGCTTCAGGCTGCAAAACATAGTGATCTTGAGAGGATTTTGTTTGTATGAATGTACTCTATACTCTATAATAAGCTGTGTTATGTGAATTTACCATGGTTGATGATAATATATCAAGACAGTGGAAAACTTTTGAACTGGGTGACTGTTTTAGGCTTTAGCTAACATGTTCAGTTCCAAATCAAGTTTTATGATTCACATGTGCAGTGAGTGGTTATTTCTGTGAGATCAGCTAAACTCAAAGATCCTTGTACTGGGTTTATGCCACAATAATACAGATCCTAGATCTAAAGCATACCTTTTAGTGGTAACTGGGATTCAATGGGGATATTAAATCTTAACCTGTAGTTTATTGCAAGGTTCACTGATAATTCATAATAAGCAGGTGTAGGATGCAGGTACTAGGATTGATCCATGCAATGACACATGTTTGGTTGGTAGTATGAAAACAGCTTCAGTTAACTGTTCTCATTCGTTTCAGATCAAGGCTGTAATTGCTAAAAAAAAAAAAAATGGGTGTGGAAGATGAGGGGCATTCTGGTGCTAACAGAGCCACCAGATCAGCAGTTCGCTCCACACCAGAACATGCTCCTTCCAAGCCCCGTGGTAAAGCTAGGAGGAGGAACCGCAAAAACAGGGTATGCTATTCTTTTATATTTCAACTTGTGTCTACATTAGACATGATGATGATTTCAGTACTCGCTTCTGAACATTTCATACATTAATCTGAACAATCCCAACTTTCAATGAATGTTGGAGCTTCAGCTTTATTTTAACCTCTTCCATCTTCCATTGATATTGTCATTTCCAGAAATATAGCAGAAAGCAAATGCATAGTTAGCTCAACTCTCAATCATGTAAATTATTCACCCTACTCTCTGTTCAATATGGCAGTTGTGATGATATTCTTTTTATTCAGTCGAGGTTTTACTCAAGCCTCTGAAGTGTATAAGGTACGATACTGACAACAGAACATAATGCCTCACGCAGGTGATCGAGAGTGACGATGAGGAGATGCCGGCGGCGCCCGCCGAGCCGGCCGACCCGCAGGAGCCTGCCCAGGAGGCGCCCCCGGCGGCGCCGGCCGCGCCTGCGCCACGCACGCCGTCGCCGCCGCTGCCGCCGGCTACAACACTGGACATGGAGGCCGACATCTCGATGCTGGAGCCGGCCACGTTCACCACAATTGACCGCGGTCCGCCCGAGCCCATGCTGCGACTCAGCTGGAACCACAAGGTAAACACTGCCGCTTAGAGGGTGTGTGCGTGAAGTAACGCTGATAAGGTGCATTTATTGTGGTAAGATGATTTTTTCACAGATTAATTCTGCAACTTAGTGGGAACAGACGTGAGAAATATTTCTTCACAAGGCAATTACAAAACCAGATGTATGCTGAGCAAAGCAGAGTTGATTCATTATGTCATTTATTATGTTAACACAGTTTCCATCACTTACCGAATGTTTTCACCCGTGGGTGGAATCTTTTATCACGGCTGAGACCAGCAAAGTGTCGCAGCACGTGCTCTTTGCTGCAGCCATATGTCGATGTATCGTTTCCAGCGTAGCAATGACACGGCGCTGTCTTACCTCCTGCCACAGGTGAACCTGATGGCAGAGAAGGTGCTGAACCCGCTCATCTACATGTGCGAAAAGTGCGACTGTCCCGTCCTGCTCTACGGCCGTATGGTGAGTGCCGAGAGACGTCTTAGCTCATCGCTGGTTTGTGTACACTACATTAGCCAGCGTTGCGCGGTATAAACGACGCTCTGAGCTTATGAGGCTTGCACTATGTTAAAGTTGATGAATGTGCGTTTGAAAATATTTTATTTTATTCATTAGTTTCATATTGGTTATGTAAATGCAAGTTGTAATCATTTATTCGCTCATTCACCATGCATTAGTCATTCATTTTTTTATTCATTCATTCATTTATTCATCCATTCATTCATTTATTGACTCATTCATTCATTCATTGACTCATTCGTTCGTCCGTTTGTTCACCATTCAATATTGCATTCATTCATTCAATGCACATTCATTGATTCATCCATTCTCGCGCCTCATCCCTCCCAGATTCCGTGCAAGCACGTGTTGTGCTACGACTGCGCTAAGCCTCAGGAGAAGTGCTGGCGCTGCGGCGACCGTGCCGTGCGCGTCGAGCGTGCCGGTCTTGGCACGCTCTACATGTGTCTGCACGACGGAAAACGCTACGACAACAATGGCTGCCGGCGCACCTACCTCAGCCAACGGGACCTGCAGGTGGGCCATCAGTAGTTGGATCAACTGTGGTCTGAATGGGATGGAGGGCAGCAACATGGATGCCTTGCAGTGCCTATGCTTTGCGTGTGATGTCAAGTGCATGAATGGAAAAGTACGAGTATTCTGTGTGGCTGCTTTGGTTTTTGATTGTACGGCTTGCTCATTTTCTGGCTATTTAATACGAATTAGTATACTCATTATAATCCAGTCCATTCAGCTGTGATTAAGGTTCACCCATCGCTTTTCTATCGGTACTGCACATCATTTCCATTCCATCTCGGGTGCAATGTTGTGCCAACTGTTGGTCTTTTTTCACTTACAGGCGCACATCAACCACCGGCACCGGCGGGCGCCGCCCGCCCCTCGCACCCCTCCGCCGCCGCCGCCGCCGGCACCGCCCGAGCCGCGACGACTGCCCGAGGAAAAACCAGCCCCGGAGCGACGCGACCCGCGGGGTGGCGACGTCCGCGGCCACTCGTTTCCGTCCCCCTCGGCCGGCAGTCACAGCCCGCACGGCGGACACGCGCCGCGCGCCGCCGCCGCCTACAAGTCCAGCCCGCACGCCGGCGCCCACCGGTCCAGTCCGCACGGCAGCGGGTCCAGGGGCTCGAGTCCGCACGGCGCCGGATCGGTGGGATCCAGTCCGCTCGGATCCGGATCGCATGGATCTGGCGGACACCGCGGTCATCATGGCGGTGGACATGGATCACATGGGTCACATGGATCGCACGGATCTCACGGATCTGGACAGGGATCTCGCGGCTCGGGACATGGATCCGGTGGTGGATCCAGCCACGGATCCGGCCACCACGGGTTTCCGCCGACCAAGCAGGCGCCTCCGCCGCCGAAGCAGCAGCCGATTCAGGTGATAAGTTCTCAGCGCAGTGGCAACCTCATCACGATCCCGATCCAGGGTCAGGAGCCGCCGCCGGAGCCGCCGCCGCCTTCCCACCCGCCGCCGGCGCAGCCGCAGTACGCCGGCTACCAGCCGACGGCGGCCTACTCGACGCCCGGCTACGGCCAGCCGGAGCCGGCGCCTTACTACCAGAGCACGCCGCCGCCGCAGCCGGCCGGCTACAGCCGCGCGTTCCCGCCGCCGCAGGTGCCGCCGCCGGTGGTGCGGCCGGCGCCGCGTCAGTACCAGGCGCCGCCGCCGCAGCCGAGCCCGCCGGCCTGGCCCAGCCAGCCGCCGCCGCTGGGCAGGTACTACCGGTGAGCGTACCGCGACAATATGGGGCGGCGTGGTGACGGGAGGGAGGCTACTGTTCACCGCCAACAGCTGACAGTGGTCGGATTTAGATGGGAAGTTGAGGAGAGCATCGTGAGTGAAAATAACACTACGTGGCATAAATATGAAGGATCTACAATGATGATACAAATAATGAGAAGCCATTTTGGTAGTGCTTGTTGCACAGTGAACGTTAATTCAGAAAGGACTGGACGTGAGAGCCAGTATATTTTGTAAACGTTTTGTGTTAAGAAAAAATGATGACCAAGTTAATCTTTGCTGGACGGCCAAGTCTTTGTGGTAGCCTTTACTGTCTGCGTTTGGGTCGCAGTCAGTATGCCTTGCGCTGGACTGCAAGGCGGACCGCATTTGGTGACTTGTTAAGTGCTGTGGCATGTCTTCCGGACTTGTTAGATCTGTGCCTGTTGATGGCTCCATCCGTGGAGCTGCATGAATGTTGGATTTGGGTGGTGGACTGATCGAAATGATGTGATGCTAGCCGTGCCTTGGAAGCGAGTAGTGACAGACATAGCGGTCTGATCCGTTACCATTGTCGGTGGCTTCGGCCTTGGGCCTTTCCAAATTGCATAAATGCAGTGCATTGCATTCGCTTTTTGAGCCTTTGGCGTTTTGTCCGATACGTTTCCGCCATCGACCTAACTGATGGAATTGCTGCGATGAAGCAGAAATACATTTTTTAGCTGCCCACATCTTTGCCGCAATCTTGCAGTCGTTCGGTTGTATGTTATGCTCCGAAGCATGGGGCAAAAATGTAAGCAGACAGCAAAGCGCGACTACGCTGTGAGGTAAAAATGTACACTTTGGCAGTGAGGCTACGAGCCATATGTCGCGTTACTGTTCCGGGTTCATTTGGTATTGCATTTTGGTCAAGTGCCGACGAAAATTTGGGGGCGCATGTCTTCCTACAGCCAGCGCCGTCACATTTTGAAGGTAATTTGTGCCAATTTGAAAGCCTTGTAATTCGATCGGCGAATATTCGGACCACATCGGACATGAACGAATAATGTACTGTTGATTACAGACGCCCACACTTCAATGGATGGCAGCTGCAAACCAGGTGAAACAGCGTCGCAAATTAGTGTCGCGATAGAGTTGGAATGGCCGTACTGCGTCCATGACGAAACACTAGATGTTATAAACGGGAATTGACCGGGCAGGTTCCTCGTATGCTGTGTAGCCTTTGCAAGTAGAAGTTAAATACATGTCTATTAAAAAAAAATTCGGCGACAGCTATCCAAAAACGGCAAACAATGCACCACTGAAGAAAGGTCACACGTAACCATTCTAACAGAAAAAAAAAATCAATTTAGTCACATCATACAATGTATTCACATATGTCACACTGAGTCAGGCTTAAACACTCGCATAGATTTCCTCCAATCTTAAAAAGCGGCGCACAAGTCATAGTCGTCCTATACAGTCTCAGTTTGTCCACGCGTCCATGGCAGGCGGGCGGGCGGCGCACGACCCGCGATTGTACTGACAAGGCACACAACATATGGCAGAGGCGAGCGGCGGGCGGGCGCGCATCGTCTTTGTACCGGGCGCCGCGCCAACCGAGAACGGTCGCGGCGCCCGACAGATCAGCCGTGGCGGCGGCGCGCAACAATGAGGTGAGTGAGTGACACCGCGAGGTAAGAGCGCCAGCACTGCGCGCTCAGTTCAGCTACAGCATGTAGCGCTCGGCGGCCGGCGACGGCGGCGGCGGCCCGGGCCGGTCGCGGTGATCGCGGTGACGCGATCCGCCCGGCCGTTTGGCAGCCACGCTGGGCGGCGGTGGCGGCGGTGGCGGCGGCAGCGCCACGCCGTACGTATCCGACTCGTAGTCCGAGTCGAGCGCCGAGCCGCACCGGTACGCGTAGTAGGTGGCCGAGTCCGAGTCGCACACGTCCGTGCTGCACGGAGTCGGCGGCGGCGGCCGGTTGCGCAGTTTGTAGTAGCGGTACGAGCCGAGCGTCGGCGCGTGGCTGGAGCCGGCCGCTGCCGTGGAGGCCGCGGCCGAGTGCAGGCCGGTGGCCGGGCTTGGCGGCGGGTTGAGCGGCTCCAGCGGGTACCGGGTGCCCGCCGAGCCGGAGCTCGAGCTGGACGCGCCCGTCACGTGCGCCCGGTCGTAGGGCGCCGAGCTGACCGGGCTGGAAGCGGGCGCCCCGGGCCGTGACAGCACCGAGAGCTGCACTGACTCGCGGCGCGGCCGGCCGCTGCGCCGCGACGCGCCGGCCGGCCGCGGCCGCACCGACGGCCCGGCGGCCGGCGCCATCGGTCCGCCGCCGGCCGCCGCCTCGATGGGCTCGGCCTTGCCGCTGCGGCAGCGGCACCACCAGAGCACGAACGCCGAGACGGCCAGCGCGGTGACGGCGAACACGGCCAGGATGACGAGCAGGCTGTGCTGCGAGCGGCCGGCCCGTCCGCCCAGCGAGTCGGCCGGCACGCCGCTGACGCCGCCGGCGCACACGGCCGTCAGCTCGTCCTCGCCCAACTGACAGTGGTGCACGCCGTCGCAGAGCTGGCGCAGCGGCACGCACTGCTGCGAGCGGTGGCAGAAGAACTGGTTGGGCTCGGCGCCGCAGCAGGCCGTCTCGTCCGAGCGGTCGTCGCACTGCGGCACGCCGTCGCAGGCCAGGCCTCGCTCGATGCACTGGCCGTTGTTGCAGGCGAACTGGGCGCCCGTGCAGGCGGAGCAGTTGTGCTCGTCAGCGCCGCCCTCACACTCGGGCTTGCCGTCACACCTGGCGAAGAGGACGGACAGGGACGGCGTCACTCACGGGTCGTCACCGGCACAACACGATACAGACACTGGGCCGGCATATTGAAAGACGAAATCCAAAATGTAAAAGCGCGGATTCAACAGACCGTGATGACCGTGGAAGAGCGTCCCAGTTCATTCCCTGAAATAATAATATACGCTATACAGTAGGGTCGTCCAACGGCAGATTAATCTTAAGTTAGTAAGCGAATAAATCAAAACTTTCGCGATCAAAGTTTTGCCCCGTGCCAATGCTTGTTTAGTTTGCCTCCTTATCCTAACCAGCTTACTCCTTAACCTCATCCATCCTCTCTCACTTCTAACCACTCCTATCTTTCTTTCTCCGTCCCCTTTCTCACCTCCATCTGAGTGGCACGCAGTGCGGCTCGCCGTACGGACAGGCGAACTCGTGGTGTGCGCACGACGGCGGCCGCTGGCACGTGCGGTTATCGCGGCCCAACTCCAATCCCAGAGGACAGGAGCAGAGCGGCCGGCCAGACACGGCCACACACAGGTGCGAGCACAGGCCGTTACCGTAGCACGGGTGCGACACGATCATCTGTGGAGAGAGGAGGGGAGGCGTCACTCACTGGATGGATACAAAACATTGGAGAAACAGCGCCACATGTGAGCTGAGTGGAGCAGTGGACCATAGGCAGCGGTCCTTCAGGTTCAGAACCTCACTAATGGCTAAGATGAGATGGGATGTGATCGCACATCAGAACACAAACATTAATCGGAACAGCAAAGGGTCCTCCCATTTTAAAACTGTCATCCCTGTTCAGATAAGGTTAAACTTATTACCATCCTACGCCCTCGTCCTTTCTTCTCTCCACATTCAAGATCTCTGCCAAGTGACGAGACCATTCGCGTAACCTGACAGTGGCGCCGACCTGTTGTGTTCGGCTGTTCCCGCGGCTGTGCCGCAGGCTCCTGACTGACCTGTCGCGTGCGGTTGGCTACGGCGGCGATGGCGGTGAGTCCCTCGGTGCGGCTGACCACGGTGCTCAGCTGCTCGCCAGTGTGTTTGTCCACCCGCTCGATCAGCTGCTGTTTGGGGTCCACCCAGTACAGGTGGGGGCCGAGTACCGCCAGGCCGCGGACGGCGCCCTCCACCTTCTGCTGCGAGCGGTCCACCAGCACACGGCTGTGCAAACGAAGACAGAGGGAGAGGGATCAGAATTAAAGTAGTTATGAAGTAGAGGTGGAGGTGGAGAAATGTAGAGCGGTCCACCAGCACATGACTGTGCGGGAGGTGAAACAGGTGACCGGTCAAAAAAAGTGGCAGAAACGTCCATCAGCATACGGCAGGTGTTCAAGGGAGGCAGAACGGGCGACATGGCGTCACAAAATGAAACCGACGGAAAAATAGAATCTGTTAAAAGAGCACTGATCGGACGGAAAGAATGTGGAGCAGAACGAAATCAGACAGGGCTACAGAACATTATCAAGAACAGTTCGTCGGTACTCATTTCCCTGAAAAACAATACAATGGGAATTTTCCCGCCTATGGGAAGAATAGGCGGGAAAATATGAACGCGCCACTGAGCAGTAGTTTGTTTCATCGTCGCAGTACTCACGCGCTGCCGTTGAGGTCGGTGACCCAGACCTTCTGCAGGTCGGCCCAGTACACGAGCTGGGTGTCGGGGTCGGCGGTGAGCGCCGACGGCGGCCGCTCCAGGTCGGCCACCAGCGGCCGCCGCCGCGAGCCGTCCAATCGGCAGAGCTCGATGCGCGCCGGCGGCCCCTGGTTAGCCCACACCATCAGGCCGTGCTCGGCCATCAGAGCCAGGTGGCGCGGCCGGTCGGCGCTGTCCGGCCCGCCCACCACCACGCCCACCTGACTGCCGTTCAGCCGCGTCACGTTGATGGTGTTCTGTTCGGCGCACGACCAGAACAGCACACCAGAGTACGGCTCCACCTGACACGGAAAGGAGGAACGAGCGTTACCGGCACAGTCAGCAGCTAAAGGTACACGACCAGAACAGCTCGCCCGAGTACGGTTCCCCGAGTACGCCCGACAAGCAAGGGTTGAGAGACTTGAGAGGATTCAATGGAGGTACAGCTAGCTTAGGTGAAGGGCCTCTGCGTCCAGCGCCCGCTTCTTAGTACCATCCCAGTCGTCACTCAACTCCATCACCACCGTTCCTTAAACCCTTTCTCACCGTGCCCCAGTCCGTCCCTGCCGCGCCTCACCTGTATATCGAAGGGCCGGTAACGGTCCGGTCCTCTGTTCTGTATGAGTGTAAATCGAAGGATCGCTATATTACCCACCTGCAGTATAATATCGAAGGGCCGGTACATTACCCACCTGTATATCGAAGGGCCGGTGGCGGACCGCGTTGCTCGAGCTGTGCACCAGGATCACCTGAGCCGTGTTATCGTCCCGGGCTCGCCGGATCGTCTGCAGCGCACGGCACCGAGTTAGTCAAGTATGAATAACAGTAAAAGTTAGTTTACCTTATCAATATGAAAAATCAGCCTGAATAGTCAACCAGCTCTCCTCTTACTTACACTGAATGAACAGTCATTATTTAATGATTCATTCATAATGAACATTACTTACTTCATGAGCACTCGGCATGAATGGTACAAGGGCGTCCAAAATTAACATGAGAGAAGCTGCTTCTATGTTCGCACCAATGCTGACCAGTCAGCATCACACTTAAACCCCAACCCACCCGTATAGCGGCTCTCCTCAGTCCGTCTCGCTGACTGACCTCCGTCTTGGCGTCTGCCCAGTAGAGATGCTGGTTACGCGGGTCGAACGATAGGGCCCGCGGATTGCGCAGGTGTGTGATGGGCAGTGTGATGTCCGGTGCCTCCCCCGGCAGGGTCATGTACCGGTGCACCCGCGAGCGCTGAGCAAACAGGAGAAACTCCGCCGGGGCTGCGCAAAGAACAGGAGGTGAGTTAGCAAAGAGGCACACAGGCGAGCCGGGTACA